GTCATTGTTTTCGCGCGGCTCTAAAATAAAAGCATTCATTAAGTTTTATTGCCCTAGCTGTAACTTAAATAGTATTAAAAATGTTAAATAAAAATTGTAATATTTTTATCGTGGAATTGCTAATGAATAAACGCTGCATATTTTGGTTTAATTTGGGGATAAAGATTATTATTAGGATAATAATTTTTAATTTATGACTTCTTTTAGTATCTTTCAAACTAAATTTGTAAAGTTAATCTTTTGGTATTGATATTTTTATGCATATTTTGATGCTTTTTAAAGTAAGAGTTTTATTTTGATCATAATAATTATTTTGAGACTAAAATAAAATAATTGAAGAATTCAGTTGTATGTTTTAGGCTTATTACTTTAACTTCGAGACATATGAGTATAAAAAGGAGAACAATTACATCACAAGGAATTAAAGTAAATACAATGTAACTATAATAGGTGATATACTTAATTGTTGATTAATTTCAGTGTGTTCTCGTAATGAAAGTTGGCAAAGTTTTGTGTTGTGTTTACACTCCATGTGCCTCGTAAAATATCATGAATGATACAGTTCGCGGCGAGGGGATTAACACTTTGTTATTAGGCCACTTTGCCAGCTATTATGTTCTATGGAAGTTTTATTGTTACGAGTTTATAAGAACTATGAAAAATGAAGTTCTCTTTATGTATATGTGCGCGTGTAAAGCTGTACGCATTAAAATGTTTTTAAAACTTGTACTGTAAATTGTCGATTGCAAATTATTAATTTTTATTTTTTTACTTTACAGTGAACGAACTAGGTAAACAGAAATGTGATGAAAGTTTGTCATGTCTGAATTTCACAATAGGGTAACTTTTAATCGACAGCTATGATACGATGTGGGGATAACTCGTTTATTTTTATTGTCATTGTTTTTATCTTTAACTTAATGTTGGTTAGGATGAAAAATAATACTTTTACCACAATTTATCAGTTCTGTAGTTATTCAAATAAATACATCTGAAGACTTTTGCTTTGTATATTAGATATGACAGTTTTAAATTTTAAATTGTCTATTGATGACGAGTTAATCGTACAAAATGATGTGTAAAATAAAATGTTAACAAAACTCCGAGACAAATTATGTTTAACTATATTTTTTTATAAATACACTTATGCCTTATTTAAAAGATCGAAACAAAGGGTCCCTTTAGACAACACAAACAGTATTTGTATATGTTTCTAATATCCTATACGTCATATTCGGACTCTTACAATTCCGTCAGATTTCAAAGTTAATTGTGACGACTAGTTATAATTTTTTCTATGAATGAATATAAATATTTCTAATGAAGGTTTTGTCGTCACAATTATAGTAAAAATGTTTGCTAAATTTAAAGGGCCTAGATAAAATTAGTAGGAAGTAAGGGAGCGAATGTTAAGTGGCGAGGGGAGCGGACGTTGGAGCGATCGGTATAGTCCGAGAAAATCGATTTTCCACCCCTCATAGTTTGCATGGCCTGTCCGGCGGAGCTACGCACTTTTCTTCTTCCCTTAGAATAATAAAAAAGTTGTATTTTGCCTTGAATGTAATATTTTAAAGAAACTGATGCCGTATACTAGCTTATAATTAAAAACATACTATACATACATTATAATAAGTATTATAAAATAATATAATTTGTACAATAATAAAACATGTTTTCTTTTATAAATATGTTTTAAGATGCATAATATGTTCATTTAGGTGATGTTGAGTATGAGTCGAATTATTATGGTCTCGTCTTAAAACTTGTTTTGTAATGCTTGTTTCAATGTATGTGTAGTAGCCAATTATATGCATAATAAATAAAAATTGAAAAAAACATTGAAACTTAGAAGTACACACGTAAATTAATTATTTGTTAAACCTTGAATTTATTTATAACAGGTTTAAGTATACTTATATGAAATGATCGGTGTTTAGGTCATTGACTTAGCCCCAAATAACAAGAGAAGTTTTCATATTTACGTATACAAACTTAATAAAAAAAGCAAGTTCTCCATTTTCCAATATTACTGATTAATAATTAGTAATACCATTATTACAATGGCGTATAATAATTAAGGTAAACTATTTATTTACTCGTATGTATCATAATATTGAGTGTGCATTTTGTAGATTAATACAAACTCCTTACAATTATTTAAAATGAGATTTAAAATTTAGAAAATTTTGTCGAAGGGTCGGTCCGCCCGCATCGTAAGGGTGGCTGATATCGCCATCCCACTCGGACGCAGCATCACCGGACATTTCGACCGGGCATTTCAATTTTAAGAAAGAGTAGGGTCCGTCCCGCGCAGCACCACAGCCCCCTCCCCTCACCATTGCTGTCTCGCTCGCACGGACGACCAACAAAAGGACGCAAAAGCGATAACTTCATCACCACGCTCGGCTCTCTCTCGCACTTACATATCGGTGGGGGACGACGTTGCGAATTGTTATTGAAGTCATGCCCCCGAAGGCGACTTCGGGAAGGCTGTCAGTTGCTTGTAAACGTTCGTAGCGTCAGTACCTGGCGACTGACCCGCGTTGCCGGTATAGCGGCTCCACTACTACAGAACGCATTGTTCTTCGCGTGCGTAAACAAGTGCCAAGTTTTAATAACAATCGCTCTGTGATTTTGTTAATTATAGACGTTTTCGTTTAAAATTATATTAATATTGACAATAAGTTAACATGGACAATAAAGAAGGAACTATCCGTCTCTAATAAATAAAGGTGAACAATTTTGTGAATTATTAAAAACAGTTTCCGGACAAGTTTCGTAAAAGTTTTAAACCGGAAGTGTAGTTGACCGGGTCGCGAGTGTTTACAGCGCGCACGTGGCTTTGGCGAGCCGCTCGCCCGCGGTGCA